TAGAGGGTCTTTCGTCATTCTGATAAGCAGGTTGGTGAGTATCAGCGAGAGGCACGGAGGTCTGAAGCGGATGTTTCCTGTGAAGTGAGTCACAGGGGGGGCTGGATTCCAGCCAGGAGAGCCCTGCAGGGCCAAGCGCACCTACGGCCCCTCCCCTGCCAAGGTGTCCCTGAGGAGCCGCCCGAGCACGGGCACGACACAGACCCCTTCCACCGCGGCACCTTTCTCCTTGCTTTTCTCTGGTACTCTGGAGAGTGCTGAATGCCCACGCTGCTCTCCCTCCCCTTCCTGCACGATTGCTAGTAGCGGCACAGAGGCTGTGCTACACTTGCGTTTAATCACCCTGGTATCAGCGCACGGGAAAGTTCAGGCTCATGCTGGGAAAGGCACGCTCGGATGAGGATGACGCCGCAGGGACGTGGCAGGGCATCAACAACCCCCGAGGTGCCTGGGGACGAGGGCTGTGGACTGGAACTTGTGACATGCCGAGAAAAGGTGTGTCTGATCCTCTACCCAGCTCCTCTACCAAAACACACCTGCGTGGAGCTGGTATGCAGTGACGGGCAGCGCGTATTCTCTGGCGGCTCCCAGGAAAGCCGAGTGGTCACACACGTTTTCACTGATAGGGATCTTCCCACGCCCAGGCAGGGAGTCCTGCCCCAGTGCTAAAGAGGAGCAGGACTCCTCGCTCTCGATCTAAAGACACTTAGTCAGGGCCGCGTTTTCCCCAGCTCTGAAGTGGGGTTAGTCATACATCATTGAGATTATGTGATTCTCAGGAGTGGGGTTTCATAGGCAGCCATAATAAATTTATTGTACTGAGGAGAACATGGTACTTTGAGAACCTGAAAAGACTGTAATGAAAATGCTTGTTTTAGCATTTATTGCTTTGTAGTGCCTGAAAAAGCTGTTTTAAATGAGTGTGTGCAAGCATCATATCTGTGTGTATAATATGCAGACACACACACACACATACAAACACAGTTTTTACTTACCAATCCTTTAAGCTCTCATTCACCAGAACATGCCTTTCCTTTCCTGTTTTCCTTTAATCCTGTATATTGCCTGCTTGAAAAATCATAGGCTGCTCAGAAGTCTTACTATTTTGCTTGGGGTTACTGAGCTAAAGCCAAGCTAAATCCCAAGGTTTTGTGGCTGTATGAGCGTGGCTGAAGGGGTACATTACACACTGCTCTGTAATTTGTGTACACATCTCACATCCCAGGAGCACTGCTCTGGAGCTGAACACACTTTGAGGCCATGGATGGTGGTGTGTGAAGCAGGAAAAGGGAGGCGGTACAACCAGGAGGGAGGAGTGGGAAGGGTTGGGCAGACAAGCCCAAGGAGCAGAAGAGCTCTTAGAGAAACCCCTTCCAAAGTTCTCCATCACCTCTGACTCCTCAGCCCTTCCTGCTGGACAAGCTCCTGGCCCTGAACAGGAGTCACATCATGGGCTGCTTGCGTGTGTGCAGAGAGGTCTGTGTTCCATGCACCAACGCACAGCATCACCACTTCCTTCTTGCTCCAGGCCCTCTGCTACACTGCATATTAGACACTGAGGAAGTGAAGGCGGAACAGCACCCTTCTGTGCTCACTGGGCTGCAACCTCAGTGGGGTGTTGCTGCAAAAATGGTTTTGTCAGTAGACTGGTGACAACCACCTCCCAAGAGTGGCAGTAGTTTCTCTTTCTCTAACATAAATAGCTTGGCTGTAACGGAGAGCACAGACCACCTTGTGTTAATGAGTAATAAAAGCAATTGTCCCATGGTGCATTTGTCCCTGAGCTGGGACTGAGTGTAGTCAAGGTGATAAAACTCTTACATTAGCAAAGTTCTGCTGCATCAATACCACACAGAGCAAGAGCCTGACAAGGCCAAGCTCTGACAATCAAATATTAGGATACCCTAATGCTTTTATTAGTGTCAAAGCACAGTTAGCACATGTAGTACAGCCTACAAATTCATTGGAAAGCTACTCTGAGTCATGTCAGCCAGGTTTCGGGCTATACAAAGACATCGTGGGAGGATATTTTGGGAGAGCTGTTTTCTGAAGCTGAGGGGACATCTGTCATGCAAGTTAGGAAAGCAGACCATGATGAGAAACTGCTACACTTTGCTTCAAGAAGATGTTGACTTGTTCTAAATAAAGAATATTAAACATGTACCTTGCCATTTTCTACTAAATAAAGAATATTGTATTCTTTCTAGTAACTACAGCAGATTCTATGGGTGTGTTTGAAGACACAGACCTAAAGAAGGACCAGACATTGGATTGGTCTCTCCAGCAGGTGAAAAGCCACGAACCATCTTCATGGTGCTGCACACTCTGGAGCAGCCTTACACCAGGGAAAACGGAAGGGTCCTGACCTGCTGCTGTCCAGGCCAGGATGCTCCAGAGCCCCAAGCTAGATGCAAATGGCTGGAGCCACTTCCTGCCCCCAGTGACTCATGGCCAGGGAAGCACTGGCATCCTGCTCTAGGAAGGGTCACTCACCTGCCCTGCCCTGCAGGGAAGGTGAGCACAGGGAGGTGGAAGGAGCTGGGACAGTAACATATTGCTGGGCATGCGGAAAATAAACAAGACATCACCAGGACTACAATAACAGCTGTGGGGAGATGGAGTGAAGCACAGGCAGCGCTGGTGCCTCACATGCTGCTTCCACCCCTTGGTGGAGTTTGCCTCTTGGTCTGACATCCATGGGCATTTCTTGGGATGGGCTGGAAGAACAGAGTACAATGTGCCCAGCACAAAAGCCTACAAACACCTCTCTGGCTATTAGCATGGAAGATTTTCACTTTCCACCTCTGTCATGCTTGTATTGACACACTTCCACCATGCACCAAATAAGAGAAAATGTCCCCTTTCTTTCCACTTGGCTTATCCTCTCTGAAAGTGGCTTGCATTTGGGTACAGGACAGAAGGAGAAGGCAATGGCCATAATATATTTCATATGGCTATAATACATTTCCTGGTTAATCCAGGCTCTGTTGCTGTTAAACTCTGGTCCTGACACTGATAAGGACTTAATGCTGATTGTGGGAAGGCTGTCTCAGATTTTTCAAGCCTATTCTAGCTCACCACACCACTTTTTCTGAGTTGCCAGTAATAACAACTGACTAGGATGCTTTTTAAAAATGGGTGCATACAGAGGTTAATGAACTCAGAACAAGTATAAGAAGCTGATGTCTATTTTTAGTACCTGTATCAGACAAATGTAATCTGTATACATATATGTGCTAATGAAAGTCGTGATTCTTTATGGGACCTGTGTGGCCACTGCCATGTCCCCATGGGTCAGAACTGTTGAAAACACAACACAGAAAGCCATGAAGCAAAAATCATGAAGGTTTCTTTGACTTATCCAGACATTTGGATACCAGAAAACTCAGCAGAAAGCATCATATCCACATAACCACATCAAGACTTGCATCTGGGAAAGATGGAAGAAAAAAAGTTCCTCACTTGTCAGCTTCTACAATTGGAATTAGGAAACAGAAAGCAGAAAGCTGAAGCAGCAGAGCCTCCTGCATACCCTGGGAATTTTGTTCTCCACTTCAGCCTCTCAAAGCATGTGCTGAGGACCTGTTCCACAGGGTGACCTCTGAGGAGTGGAGTGAGCCTGACATCGAGGGTAAAAGTTGTGATCTCTGTCAGCAAAACCGCCTTATGAGGCTATGATTGGAATTATACGGGTTATCTATTGTAAGAATAAACTTCTCATTGCTGTGGTATTTGAAGGGGAATCCCGGAGAAGCAGAAGCTTTGAGCAGTGCTGTAAAGGTGCCACTTGGCTCCATCTGGAGGTGACAGCTCAGATGACAGACACCGCCAGCCTGGGCAAGCAGCTGGAAGCAAAGCTGTACGCACAGCAAGAAGCTGCTCCTCTGCCCTGTGTTGAATATTTGCCCATTCAAGGCAGGTCTTCAGCCTGTTACTGCTTCTCTTGAAATTCAAAATCAATGATCATTGAGGATGCGATGGTTTCTGTACTTTTGTGCCTTTGGGGTGGGAGGAATTTCTAGTCCCACTCCCCTTTGGTTTTCCTGAAGGGTGCCCTGATGGGTTTCTCAGCACTGCACGAGAGGAGATATTGAGAAGCCTCTTACAGAGTCCCCAGCCTTCTACCTCTGGCAGCCTGTGTGACCCCTGCTCACCTGTGGAGTTCAGCAGGAAAACAGAAATTTGCAGTCAGAGTAAGCAAGCAGGGAAATTCCAACCAACTGAAATCCTCCAGACTGGCACTAGTCTGAAAACTTCAAGATTTCCACATGGGAGTTGTACTCATGCCATGAACAAATTGAGGCCTAGGGCATGAGGGGTATCAAGTTTTGACTTAAATTCAGAATATAGAGTTCTGCATCTGGGATGGGGGTGGATGTTGGTTCTGAAGGCCCATGACTGCTGCCTTTTCCTTTTCCTCCCTGGTGACATTTCTGCATTGAACTAGATCATCACTGCACCAGAGACCAACAGGGTAACAACCAAGGGGCCTGGGATCTACACCAAGACACTTAATAATTGCTCCCTGCTAAGGCATAAACTATTGAACAGGAATAAATGTGTGTGTGCACATAAGAGCTCCTCTCTGTGTCCCTCAGCAAGGCTCAAGACTTCTGCCCTGGAGAACAATTTTTGATTCTTTTTTCTAATCCCTATTTTGACAAAACCTTCCATGATACCTGCCTCCCCTGGCAGCCCAGGGCTGCATGTCCCTTCTGCACAGCCCCGTTTCTCTTCAGTCAGGCATGACAGGAGGTGTAGCGGTGCAGGGCGGATTGGCTGCAGCAGCTCCCGTGGGCGCTCTCACCCTCCTCCTGACCCTGGCAGGTGAGCACTGCCCCGCAGCCATCACTACCAGATGGCACCTGCACCAGAGAGGAGGTCCTGCTCTTCATGGGCGCTGCTGGGCATCTGGGACACTGACACTGTCTCTACCCTAGCTTTAGGAGCAAGGCTGGGCGCTGTTGTTCGCACTCCCCTGGATGTGCTGAGCACCTGCTGGCATGAAGTTTTTCCTCCAATATGTGGGCTTCTTTTTTGCCTTTTTCTCTGCTGCGTTTTTGATAATATCTACCTGGACAGACTGCTGGATGGTGAATGCTGATGACTCTCTGGAGGTAAGACTGGGATGAGGAGAGCCTGATCACCAAATCCAATGTGTGCTAGAGAGAGTTTGTTCCTGGTATCATTGCTCCACTTCACTCTCATGCTCTTTCTCCCTGTTGTGCTGGATGAAAGTGGATGAGAATGAAAATAATTACTGTGGCAAGAGCAGGAGAAAAGTGGCATTTTGTGAAATTCTCTTTGCCAGACTTTTTTTTATCCAGACTGTGCTCTTACTTAGTAAGTTCAGGAAAGATCTACAGGCTCTAGTTTTAAATGTGCATGAACTTGAGAAGAGTTATCCTGTACCTCCAATCTGCTTGGATATTTTGAATATGTTTCTAGTTCTGTAGTTCAGTCTTCTTGGTGGAGACATCCAGCATGTACAACTGTGCTCTTCAAATCTTTTTCTGACCAGCCATTGAGCTACAGGGCTACCAGAAATTTAAGGGGAGCATGGGGACTCAATATGTCCTGGAACTCATATGGACAGTAGCACTCTCATGTTAGAGAAAGGTATTGGCAAAAGGTAATTGCAAACAAGGGAGCAGATTGCTGCTTACATTCAAGGTGTGCCCCAAAGACTCCAGGTCCAAAATCATCACTGTTTCTCCAGCACTCAGTACTGCATATTTAAAATTTTCTTCCCAGCACAGCCATTCATTTCTGTACATTTAAGCTGCAGGTCCACAGTGTAGGAATCTGCTGTCTGGCAAATTGGATCGTTTAGGTAGTGAAAGTGAAACACCTTCCAGGACAGAAAGTTTGTCTGAATGTATCAGGAGGAAACTTTCTATCTACTATCCAGCATATGAAACCATGAGCTCCTCTGCACCCAGTGATTGCAATGCAGCATTTAGCTGCAGCACGTGAAGAGGTGAATTATCCAAGGAAAGAAGGCTAAAACTAATTACGAGAAAAACATTTTTTCCCCCTCTATGCCACATGAAATCCTGACACTCTGACTGTGAGAAACCCTGAAAGGTGGATGTAAGTGCTGAGATGATGATCCAAGGCACTGCAGTTCCTGGTGGTCAGCGTGTCTGCTCAGTGAGCCTCTTTTCAGGACAAAGAGTGCACCGAGTGATGCTGGATGGGATGTGACTCTTCATTTGGGAGATATTTCAGATTCCTATCAGGAAGTACTCAGATGAAGGTATATCAGTATACTCGGAAGAGCCAAGGGAGTCCAGTTGTGGGGAAAACCAGATGAGAGAAGCCCAGCTCCTGAGCAAAGTGAGTCCAGTAAAGAGCTGGTCCATTACCCTGAGGCTGTGTAACCTTGTCTTCCTGGCGCAAAGGCACACCTGCGATGGGCTGTCCGAAGTGCTCCATTAACACCCAGCTTGGTCATTAGAAACCTCTGTTCTCACATTCCGGCTCTGAGTGTGAATACTAAATAATGGAGTAAAACGCCCCCAGCCTTAATACCTGACCACTGATCTTAATGACCCTAATGACTCACTGCCTCTCTAAACAGGGGAATGTCCACGGCCAGAAAGGCTACAGTCCGCAATGATTCCTGTTTTCAGCTGGAAAAAGGGTAAGTTAGGCAACTTTGGCTCCAGGAGAAGGGAGCTCCATCCTTCCGCAGCTGCTGGATCTTGGCTGGTTGCTTGGCTTTGACCCTGGCCCCCCGCAGCTGGGGAGGATGAAGCCCTCACTGTGGTCCCACTGGAGAGGAGCATCCCAGGAAGAAGAGGCCGGGGAGCAGCCACCTCCAGAGAGGCTGCAGGGGCCCTGACTCAGCTTTTACAGCCCCTCACCTCCCTTGAGAAACAACAGGTTACAGAAAGGTGTTTAAGTTAGTGACTCCCTGTGAAGCATCAAGACAGGGCTGGGTCAATTTTTGCGGTAATTTGTAGTGGAAAAAGCCCATAATCTGCTTCTCAACGAGTGCTGTATTGTGTAGACAGTCCCTCCCTGTTGCAGGTGGATTATAAATACCGCCACTACTGTTAAATGCTGCCTGTTTTACTCTCAAGCTGGGCTTGTAATCATTGTCTGCTGGCACCTTCTCAGAGTGCGGTACAACACTGTGACTAACATCGCTTACATGTTTGTCTTCTCCGCTTTCCCCAGAAGGAGAGTGTGTGTTCTGTAATTTTCCTTTTTTTTCTGTATGAGAATTATTTTAATATTAATTATACATTATGAATAGGATATAATTATCTATATTACAGTCATTATGCAGTTCATGTTTTACATGCATACTTGTGTTAGGGAAAGCAGGTCGTGGCAATGTGTTTCGCAATCGGAGTGGGGGATGAGGAGCATGGCTGTGATGTTTGGCTGCTCTGGGAGTCCTCAGCTGGGACCAAGGAAGCTGGAGCAAACCTGCTATAGGGGGAGAGGGGTGATGGGGAATTAGTGCTACCAACATGGTGCAGAAGTCCAGCCATGGGATGAGGAAATCCATGTCCCCACATGGTGCCCCATGCCCTGACCCCTGTCCCCCTTACAGCAGCCAGTTCCCGTGTGCCTGAAGGTCTGTGCTGTCAGCACAAGGGAATATGCTCAAGGGTGGCTTGGGAGCAGATTAACAACCAGGAGGATCAACAGTGCACAAAGCAGAGGGGAGCACGTGTTGGCCCTTGGCAGCAGAAACCAGAATAGCTCAGCAGCAGCTCAGGGCAGCCACAGGTCCCCACAGTGACACCTGTTCCTATCCCTCCTGCACCAGGCAATAGGACTATTATCCCTGGCTGCACACAGGCTGTGTAGAAATGGGCTGCCTCCCGCTTTGCCCATGCTGGCTGTAGTAGGAGTAGTGACAACTGAAATATCCCAAGAAACGGGAAGCATTAAACAAGCTTTTGTTAGTCTGGGAAGGAGGTTATTTCACAAGCTAGACCATAACTGTTGTGCTTAAAACCTCTGTTTTGCTTGGAGGGTGACAAAGCCTGGAATCCTGTTAGTCTCCTTATAAATAATTTAGATATAGATGCTGCTTGTAAGATTTAAAAAACAGTAATAATATCAGCAAGTGAGGAAGTAAGTGACATGATTAGCTGAATGCAGAGTAGTATTAATAAGCCTATGGTGGTTTGGGAGGAAAGAGAAATTATATAAACACAAGTGGAACAAAATGTAATTTAATAAAAATATGCTACTTTCAAGCACAGCCTGAACAGTGGTGAATTAAGACAGAAGAGGACCTGCAACTGCATTAAGAGTGCCATGGTAAAAATACATTGAATGTAAACATGGCAAATTGTTTTACAAAACTCTGTTCTCTTGAAAAGCACAGAATCAATGAAATTAGTTTCTTCCATCACTGCTTCTCATTTTTCATCACATTTTTCATTAAATATGCTCTGAAATTCTCAGAAACATTAAGCACTTCTCATCTTCATGAAACAAAACATGTAGATTATTTTCATTCAAATACAAATAGTATGTCTTCTGCCAGTCTGAAGTAGCGAGTCATTTTTCCTCACCTTTGATCCAGACAGCAGTATCACAGAGGCGGTGTGCAGCTTGGCTCAGACATTGTGTTGTGGAGAAAATATTACAGTTGGCTACAGACCTCAGTACATCCTGAATAAGACTTTATTATGTGTCCAAGATATGTTATTATCTGCTTTGTGATTTACACAGTGCAAGAAAAATGAATTTATTGCATCATCCAAGCAAGCCTGGTCCCCTTCCCCTGCGTGAAACTCATCTGCTGGAAGTTTCTCTTTCCATTAACTGCAGCGGGTGTCGCTGGCAGAAGTGGGCAGGCTGGAGTCCAAAGCTGCACCGACATTAACTCTGCTCCTCGTATGAGCAATACCAGGAATAATTTAAAGGTGCTTGTTGCCATATTTGCATTGGTAATGGAAACGCCTCCCGTATTAAAGTGATTTATGGAAGCCTGGGCTGGGAATGGTATCTACGGCTCGAGGACAGCGGAGACGATTAACCACGATGCTGCTCTGCCCCAGTCTGGATGTCTCAGTGATGACTGTGGCTTGGGCACGCGTGGTCCCAGGGCCGGGATCAGCACCGGCTGCCTCTGGTTCTCCAGCCAGTGTTTACAGCTGAGTCATCTGGGGGCAGCCCTCCCCAGGTGTCTGCAGAGGGGCTCGCATCCAGACTCCTCTTCTCTCCTCTCCCACTCTCTGAGCTGCCCCTCCTCTGTCAGGAGGACGGTGTAAGGAAGGGGAGCACAGGCAGCAAAATCTCGGGTTGTCTGGTCCGTGGCCCTACCCAGCTCAGCCTAGACAAGAGTTTGGCAATGAGTGAGCAAACCTGCTCTTAGATCTTTCTGGTCAGCCACCCCCCAGCTCCTCCCAGAAATTTCCTCAAAAATTTTTATCCTTACTAGTAGGCAAGGGTTTTTTTCCTAATGTCTAGTCTGAATTATTTTGCTCTAATGTAAAAACATTAGTAGGGATGTAGAAAACATTGTCCTTTTCCTCCATGCTTCTGCTTTTTCTCTTCAAGCTAAACACTCTGGTTTACCATCATTGTAACTGGACCAGGATTTCTACTGAAGGGCTAAGACAGTCACCTGCTGCGTTGGTGGATATTTTAACCTATGGTCTTTTTTGTCCTCTCAATCCACAGGTGAGTACAAAATGCCGTGGCCTGTGGTGGGAATGTGTCACAAACGTTTTTGATGGGATCCAAACTTGTGATGAGTACGACTCCATCTACGCCGAGCATTCCGGTATGTAAGAGTCAGAGATGTTTCTGCAAGTGGTGGGAACACTTGAATGTAGACTAAGAGTATCTGTTCTACTCAGTGACAGATAATTAGAGGCATGTTTCTTTTCTCAGTCAGGTGTTACTCCCAAGGTAAGCTGAAAAAAGCTGAACACCAGAAAAAAAATATTCCTGTGGGATCTGACCCCATAAGCTGCCCACATTTCCATTCCTTGTGCACTGGAATGATCTGCTTTTGTCCTGCAGTGAAACTGGTGCTGACCCGAGCCATGATGATTACAGCAGACCTCCTGTCAGGATTTGGATTTCTCTTCCTGGTCCTGGGACTGGATTGTGTGAAATTCCTTCCTGATGAGCCGCTCATCAAGCTGCGCATCTGCCTGGTGTCTGGGATTATGTTGCTCCTTGCAGGTATTTCCCCACTGTGTCCCCATTCTGTAGGACACCCTTTAGCAAAGTGGGGAAGCTAAAAGCCTTCTTTTATTTTGGCTGGTGATTTTCTGAAGGAGGAAGGGTCTTCATTTAATTTATTTGTGTAATGCAGCTTCTTCTGTTCACCACCTGCCTCAAACATGTAGTTCAGTTTATCTGCTTTCAGTTCATGTTTTGACCAGGTGAGTTGGCTTTGAGTTGACTGACTTCCATTTATTGCTATTTCACTGTGGAACAGTTGAAGTCGTTCATAGAGCAAAGAGACCTTGCTGTAGGTCTCTAGACCAATTGCTGGAAGACTAGAAAGTCCTGGCATCTTGGTTTGGTTCCTGGCTCTGCCACAGATTGTGTGACCTTGGGCAAGTCACTTAGCCCAAAATGTCTGCAGCTGATCTCTAATAAAAGGATAATAACATGTCTGTCCCTTCTAGGTGATAAATACCCAACTGGCTGAGGTGCTTTGCTGTTACAGCCAGTAGGAGAATTTTAAACACAAAAATAAATAGCCAACTAGGTACCAAATAATATAATTTGACTTTATGCCAATATCATGCAGCTACCTCTTCTTCAGTCTAAGCAGATTTAATAACTCACCCCAGCCACTGGGAGCACATGCAAAACATGTCGAGAGGCTCTTTTAAACATCTTCCAATTCACTTCTCAAAGTTTGTCTGAAAAGCATCATCAAAGTTCTGAAAATCAAAACAGATCAGAAAATTGAATTCTGGAGACAATTTTACAAGCAGCTGGGAGGGAAGGAGCTTCTTGCCTTTTGCTGTAGAAACCTGAGTGCTGCCAGTGTGCTGGAAATGTGTGAGAGTGCCAAGCCAAGAGGTGCAGCCTCTGCCTGGCAGCACAGGATACCAGCAGGAGCCAGGGTGAATCCACCAAAGACAGAGCATGGAAGGGGACCAAAACCTGTCATCCCAAGAAGGTCTTCCCACCCTGAAGTCTGCCCCAGCAGACAGCAGCTACAGCTTTAGATCTGCTCCCCCATGGTTCTGAGTGTGGCACCTCTCTGCAGGTCTGCCTGGCATCACGGGCTCCGTGTGGTACGCCGTGGATGTCTACGTGGAGCGCTCCTCTCTGCTCTTCCACAACGTGTTCCTGGGCATCCAGTACAAGTTTGGTTGGTCCTGCTGGCTTGGCATGGCGGGGTCACTCGGCTGCTTCTTGTCTGGGTCCCTGCTCACCTGCTGCATGTATCTCTTCAGAGGTGAGGAAGCACGGCTGAGGCACAGCTCAGGGACAGAGCCGTTGCTCAGGGCGTGCTACAGGTGCACAGGGTGGGGAAAGTCCTTTGGCATGGTTGCTATCTCCAGTGGTGATATTTTCAGCTGTAAAATGGGAATAGTCTTAGGCAGCTCTAGAAAGCACATCAAGGTCTTCATGTGGGAGCTGAGGTGCCAGGGTGACATAAATTGTGTTGTTATTATATAACATCATGGAGTGCTGCTTTCCCTGAATAATGAAACTTTGCAGCTGAAAGTCACCGAGCACTCATTAGCAGTTCCTATTTCTCTCCCTGTGCCTCACAGAGACCAGTTCTGGAAGATTCCATTCTGCCTACTCCTTGAGGAAAGGCTATTCCTCAGCTGCGAGTGTTGTAACAAACATGCATTTGCCATCCTCACAAACAGCCACCTCCAAAATGTATGCGGTGGACACAAGGGTGTGAGGAGGAGGTAAGTGCTCCAGAAAGAGCTCTGCTTTAATTTGTAGTGGATTGCACAGAGACTCAAGCTCTTGTGGTTATGATACAGATGCAGTTGAATTTCAAGGATCTACTGTATGCTACGATATTTGCATTATGAGAGCTTCAAAATACCTTTCCTCCAAGAAAGTAAATTCTGAGAAAATCCTGCTTACTGGAATCCTCTTGACTTGAGTGCTGAGACCACTTGTATAAGCACAGACTGAAATAACCAGCACAAACTCTTTTCAGCATTTGTCTCAATGCTATTGGTGGAAGTGAGATAAATCAGCCATTCCTGAATCAGAACCCAGTATTCTGCATGAAGACCCCCAAACTGCAAGATGGATCTGTTCCATGGCTGGCAATGTGCCAACAGAGTGTACAAAGGAGAAAATCCTGGCCAAGGGAGGGACTGACTGCCTGACCAACATCTGGACCCTGTGCACTCAGTAGGGCGGTCTGGCCCTCTTACAGGCAGCTGGGGAGCTTTTCAAGAGATAAGAGCTGTGTTAAATATGTGACCTTCTCTTTGGTCCATGAGTCTGCACTGAGAAAAGATTGTAAATGCAGGTGCATTCTTCCCTGAAAAATACAGTCCTTCTCAGTCAGTGTTAAAAGGTATACTACTAAACTCAGCGAAATCTGGAAATTGCCAGCTTCATTCTGCTTAATAAAAACATTGCTTGGGCAAAGTGAGTGAAGATCCAAATCTGAACTTGTGCATTACAATAACATTAACTAGAAGCTAGGATAAATGATACTAAAATCTATTGTCCCTTTCCATCAAAAGGTATTTAAACCTAGTTCAGGACTGCTGTCCCTGGCTGCAATCCAGGCTGCCATAGGCTGGATGAGGTTAGGGCATCAGCCAGGTCTTCACTAGGGTGGGGGAGGAAAACCCCTGTATGGCTTAACATGTTCCCTAAGGATGGATGTGAACATATTTTCATGCCTGTAACAGAGAGAGAAGCTGCAACAGAGTTTTCTTAGGGTTGGTAGGAACTGTCCAAATTCAGTCCTTTCTGACCATGGGCACCACACCATATCACAGCCACTGAGGGTTGAGAAAATTCTCCCAGCACAGAGATTTACCTGCTATGGGGCAGTGGAGAAACAAAGCTGGAGTCTCAGCTGGGTGTGCACAGCTGTGGGAGCTGAAGCACTACCATAGGTAGGCTTCCTCCATGGACTGCTTGGGGGGGAGGCTGGATTTCCTTCTCCCAGACAGTATGAAGTGAAACTTTATGTTATGTGGGCCAGAGGCAGATGGGCTGGCTGAGGTTGGAGTGAGCTGTATCCCAAGCAGCACTTCTGATAACTCCTATGATGGAAAACAAGGGCTGAGTCCTCTGCTGGGTTACCCTGGAAGCAGCACCTTGTGCTGCAGCACAGAGCTGAGCAAAGCCCAAACACAACCCAGCCCTGACATGGCTCCAAGCAAGAAGCACCCAGGGCCTGGAGCAGACAGGACAACAGCAGGTCCATATGGCTCTGCTGAGGGCCCAGGCAGCTCCACAGGGCTCAGAGCACAGCACAACCAGCTCAGCAAGAGCCCTGGTGGCAGCTCTGCTGCCCAGGCAAGGGAGGCTCGTGCCTGCAGAGCTCGTGCCTGCAGAGTTCGTGCTGCTTGGGCTGGCAGACGTTTATGTCAGCCAAACCGAGAGCAGGTTACTGCCAACAGATGAGCTATATCAAACAGATGTAAACACAGTAGGAGGGGTGATGGAGGCTTTTTTACAAGGTCCTGAGAGACAACGAGTACAAGAGTTATGAGCGATGTGCTGAATTCACAGATTGTACCAAGAATGCACAAAGAGATCTGGAGGTGACAGGAATTTTTGTCTGTTACTGCAGGAAACTGCATTCAGAGCTTGGTGGTTGTTTCTTTTTTTAAAAAAAAAACACTTTTTTACAGCCCCATCAGAAATGTGTTTTCTGTGGGTCTTTGGGGCAGGAGAGCTGACACTGCTGATATTCTCTGCCAGGGCAGGGAAAATCTGGGAACACTTTTGGATCTGCTTCCTGGCCTGTGTCCCAGCTGCCCTGCTCCTTCAGAGACACAGTGGGAAGGAGATGGAGGGTGAACATACCCCAGAGGCAGAGCTGTGTTCAGTCACTGCTCCACTGCCCACATCCCCTCTCCTGCCCAGAGAGGCAAATGCTCCCTCAGCCTCCCCGAGGGAGGAGAGATGCTGCAGGCAGCCTCAGCCTGGCTCACCCAGCTCAGAGATGCTCCTGGGGAGGAGGTACCCAGCAAAGACACCATCAACTCTGAATCAAAAACTCCCCAGCTGATGCAGCCAGCACATTGTCCCTCCCCACACACACTCAGGGATGCCTGCCAGCCTCTTGCTGCTGCTTTCCATAGCTTTTTCTGAGCACAAAGGTTATTTCTGGCCATGAAGATTTATTTCTTGTTTAGCAGAGAAGAAATGCAGGTGTAATTACAAATCTCAGATCACTGTTTTCTCCTGTTCAGTGATTGAGGAGAATTCTGGGCCTTTGTCTTAAATGGTCTTCAGTTTGTTTTAAGGTGGTGGGAGCTGTTTTGTGGCTTACAACATGTGGGTCACACCAAGCAGTGGCTCAGTGGGCACTGAAGGTCTATGCCCTGATCAGGGGTGAATATTAAGGATTAGTTTCTTTGGCCCCTCCAGCCCTGGGTTCCTCCTTGGGATATACAAATAGAGCACAAATACTACCTTAACTCATCTTCCTGAAATATACTTCACACACAAAGAATTTATATACAAATAGTCTTTGCATATCAAGAATGTTGCATCAACACTTGTGAGACTCTCTTCTTCAGTATCTGATTCCTTAATCATACTTCTATTCTAGTCAAACTCTATGGTAGACTTTGAGGACCTATCTCCTGCACAAGAGGGCCAGGAAAAGGTCACAGCAACTCTTAGTTTTGCTAGGTTAATGTTTTGTCACCAGTCCAGTACTGCATTGCTTCATTATTCAAATTCTGCTGACAGTCTAGCTGATGTTTTGATCAGCTGTTAATATTTAATTGTTAATCCCTGTTTGATTTAATACTGACACTGGTTTCATGACTGCAGGATTCACTCCTCATTAGCTCATTATCAGGTCACAATGCAGATCTGTTCTAGTTTAATTATATATTCATTAGCAAGAAACCTCCCAGAAAGTAAACAGGACTTATTTATTCTTTCAAAATCACAACCAGTCCCTAAGGCTAAAGATGTATCAGGTGAGCTCAGTTGTTAAGGTATTTCCTTAATACCTACCTGCATTCCATTCAGCAGCAGCTCACTAGGATGACAATAGACTGATTTTCCCCTCCTGATGCCCATTGATGGCTTACCAAGTCTTTTTGCTCAATTGCAATTTCCAGCTGAGCTGAGGCCCAACATTTAATCCATCAGTTCCAACAGCTTTTTAGGTTCCTCCATATTTTCACTAGCTTACAAGGGACATTTTTCTATGTTTGGGCACTTGTGTCTTCATTTCCCAGGGCATAGGGAGAGTCAGGGATTTAGCTGAGAGCTGGGAGTAGCACTTTTCCTGCCTGTGTGCCTGCCCCAGGCTGCTTCCTTGAACTGAGGCTCCCGGTTGTCCTCTCCCCTGACATCTCTGTGCACTCTGCCAGGGCTGGTTGCAGGTTATGGAAAACAGTAAAGTGTTTAGGTAAGATCTTTGCTAAGTTGATTCCATGCCTTACAGATAACTATTGATTTCCCATTTTGACACAGGCAAGTGAGGGACATTAAAAAGATGACACCTGCAATTGCTGTCCTTTTCTGCCGGCAGCATCTGGTCCTCTCCCTGCTTCGATCAGCCTTGCTCATGAGGGCTTTTAACATCTCCAGCTGTAATTAGTGCTCACTCTTACTGTGACCTTGTGAACTAAGCTATCTCCTCCTGCAGCTGCATCAGTGTTCCCAGGATATGGATTTCCTGCCTTTTCACAGACATTGCCATGTGATTTTGGTGTGAATTCAGTGGATCTGAACAATTATTTCCAGTAGACAGGAGCTGCAGTGCAGAACTGTGTTTTTCTTACATGCTGTAACATCAGTGGGATATAATAAACACGATTGCCTTTGAGGGCTGTGTCTCTAACCCGCATCCAGGTTTTGCTCAGGAGGTGTTTTGCCGAGTGACCTGCTTTGACTCCTGTGAAGGAATCACTGCTCTCCTGCAAGGACACACAAAAGGCAGCAGCACAAATAGGACCAGCCCTTGGGCATGGAGGATTGATTTTGGAGGCTGCCTAGACCTTTGCTGGTAGCTAAAGAGCTCAGACCCCAGTGCACACCTGCAGCAATGCATCTTCAGCAGCTGAAGACTTTGTCTCAGCTCAGACACACCTACTTAGAGTCATTTCCTAAACTTTCCAGGAGAGAAAAGTAAAATTCCACCAAGAATGCAAGGTTTTCTCTCTCAGCTGGGGCTGGACCCCCACAGTTTGCTCTTCTGCATCTGTTAAATATTGTGAGCAAGTGATTAATGACTGAAATTCTCAGTCCAGCCGCCGTTACGGCAGCAAGAACTATTTTCTCCCTGTAGTTGCTGGGTTCCTGCTGTAAAATGCCTTTGAGCAAGGAAGAAAAGAGCCAGAATTGTGCCATCTAGTGACCCAAAGAGAACGGGCATCTGTCCCCAGCCCTGTCCTCATCCTTCTTGCACAGAAGTCTTCAGCCCAAAATGCAGAATTTTAGATGACAATTAAAAAAAAAAAAAAATGAGCATATAAATTATTTTCCCATCTTTCATGTCCAGCCCTCCTGGCATTCCAAACTGATGCCCTGTTATGGCTCAGCTACCTCTGGTTTTGCTCTATTTTGCCTGAGAGCCGCCTTATGACTTTATTATTCATCTCTTAATCTGCAGACGTGAACGTCCAGCCGTGTGCCTCACCACGTTCCCTTTGTCTTTTGCTTGGTCACCAAGCACTTGGCTCCTCTGCACCATTCCCATTTCCCCCCACAAGTCTTGCTGATGACAATTTC